CGCCGTTCGGTTGATTTATATAGGCTTATTTTATTACTAGTATATTCCATACAACCAACTGTAAACCTACTTTGCCCCCTGCATATTCTCTTAATAGGTCAGAAGATTCAATAGTTAAAATGTCAGTTATTCTCAAATTGATCTAATGTTCAAAGCTATCTCAACCAAAATCCCAACTGGAGGTTTGGTAGAAATTGACAAGCTGATTCTAAAATTCATATGGAAAAACATGAATAACCAAAAATAACCTTGCAAAATAATAAAGTTAGAGGACTCACACTGTTTGATTCAAGACATTATAAAGCTGTAGTAATCAAGAGAGTTTGGCATCATAACCAAGATACATAAGTGGATCACTGAAACAGAATGCATACGAAAATATGTCCAACATCATTAGTCATTAGCTAAATGCAAATTAGAGTGAGATATGGTTAATATTAAAAAGACTGACCACACGAAGTGTTAGCAAGGATGTGGAGGAAAACCAGAACTCTCATACACTGCAGCAAGAATGTAAAATGTTACATTTCGGAAAATGTAAGTTAAACATATACTTACCACATGATCCAACTATCCCACTCCTAGGTATTTATCCAAGAGAAAAGCAACAGTTGTACATGAATGCTGATAGCAGCTTTATTTCTAATAGCTCAAATATGGAAACAATCCAAATTTTCATCAACAGGTAAATGGATAAGCAAAGTGATATAATCATATTGCAGAATACTACTTGACAATAAAGAACAATTACTATTGATACATATAACATGGATGGATCTCAAATAATTATAGTAAGTGAAAGAAGCCAAACATCCCCAAAAGAATACATGTGTGGATTCCATGTATATCAAATTACAGAAAATGAGAATGATTCTATATTGTCATAAAGCAGATCAGTGGTTGTCTGAGGGCAAAAGACACTGAGTGGTAGGAGGGAAGGGACTACAGAGGGACATGAAGGAACTTTTCAGGGTAGTAAATGTGTTCACTATTGTGGCAGATATGTTTAATACTATAATTGAAAAAATAGCTGGAAAGACGGAAAGGCAAGTTGCAGAACACTACAGCCTTATTTTTGCAAGAGAATTTGTGCATATTGTTTAAGAGGATATGTAATAAAAGATTAGGCACTATGCACCAACTGTTAACACACAAACACAAATTGAGTGATTCAAAAATATGCTGCAGTAACACATTTATTGACATGCAAAGATATTCACAATATGCAGATAGTGGGGGAAAGCAAGTTATATACATTCATTTACAGTATGATCTTGTGTTAGTTTAACTGTTGAAAAATTTCAAAGCATATAACCCCCTATTTTTGCACACTGGGACATTCTCTTCAACTTAGACCAGGGGTTGTAGTTCCTACCATGAACCGTTGAGAACATAGCCATAGTCCAAAAGTCCTGGGGATGCTTTCTGAACCATGAAGACTTCCAGGAATTACTGATATGTCAGTTGAGGTAGCAGCTTCTCTCCTAGCTTTCCTGTTCTGTGTTGATAAAGCTTCAGTTCTGGGTCTAAATTTGTCCAATTAAGTCTATCCTGTACAGTTTTAGGCTGGTACAAATGCAGAATGTAGACTAGACTACTAGTAAAAGATGGAACCTTTTGACATTTCATGATATATATTAAATAGAAAAAAAATTATAAAAAATTATGATTTTGCAAGGAGGAAGAAAGGATTTATCTTTTTTAAAATGTAATATATGAAACAATGTACAGAATGAGTCCAGTTCTGACAAAAAAATATAATCAGGTTGAAAAAGGTAAGGATATAGCAAATTTTATTTGCTAATGACTCAAATTTACATGTTATTCATTAGCTTTGGGTACTTACTGCTTTCCAGGCACTGCCAGTTCATATCCATACACTCATCCCAGACTTTTCTCCTGACCCCAAATGCCTAATGGGCATGTGTATTTGGAGGAAGTGAAGAATTGCAAGACTGGCAGGGGCATTATCTACAGCAAACTGAATCATTAAAACCAGTCTTTGAGCCTTCAAGGCCACCACTTAAAAAAGTGAGAGGACTGTAAGGTCGCATAGTAAATGGTTTTTTTAAATAGACAGAACAGCTATATGCCACCTGACTCTATGAGAATGTAGGAAAAAAGTATTTAACCTCCCCAATTCTCATTGGAGGTGATCCACAATGAGTTACATAAAAAAGAAATAACTAGAGGAGAAACTAAGATGGCGGCATAAGGGAACACCGAGATTGCTGCCTCCTACAACAACTTCAGAAACGCAATAAAAGGACAGGACGGTCAACATCCAGAACTACAGGAAGGCTGGTGGAGTGGAAATTCTACAACTAAAAGAGAAAACCACATTGAGGGTCAGGAGCTGGGGAAGTAAAGTGCAAAGGTACAGAGGCTCGAGCGTGCGCGGAAAGGGGCTGGTACCTGAGGACACGGCTGGGGAGGGAGTCACAAGCTCCCGACTTCTCTGAACTCCGGTTCCGGGAAGTCTCTGGGGACCCAGGACTCATATGGGGAGAAACTGGACAGTCTGGCAGCAGGCAGAACTCGGAACTTGAGGGCAGCTTTCCCTCAGAGGTCCTTGCAGCAATTACTGGGACACTGAGACGTGGGGCCTCTAAGGGCAGGGCTCAGGATCAGCCATAGTTGTTTGCTCCACCCTGTTGATCCCCTGAGACTCTGCCCCACCCAAGCTTCGGCAGAGGCTTTAGCATATGAATGCCGTGGCCCTTTGCCATCTGAAAATTACCTAACAAACTGCAGCTGGGTCAGAGAGACTCAGAACATCCAAAAGAAGGTTCAAGACCCCACAGCAGCTTGCATTGCTTCACAGCTGGGCCTCATTTGGGCACCTCCAAACCCAAACAAGGAAGGGGAATCTGAAGATCTCTC